TTTTTTTTTTTTTTTTGAGAGGTTTTTGCTATAGGGCACGTGCGCTCTCCAGAAAGAAAGAGAGAGACATAGAGGCAGGAAGCAAGAAATCACCCCCCGGGGGGATGGCCATGCCACAATCCCTTCTCCTCCATTCTCCTCTCAGGATCTTGGGCATGCACACGTGCCCGGCGTGAGTTTAAGCCACCAGATCCTGGACTCAAACCATTGCTGACTACATAGGAGTCCAGCGACATAGCCATTACGCCAACTGCTGGTCCCAACTCTGGCAAATTTGACAGCTTGGAGAGCAGAACAGATGTCCCTCTGAATCCCAGCTGCCTCCCCAGCTACCTAGCACCTCACTAGGTTGTCCTCCATCCCTTTCCTGCCACACTCTAGTTCTTTCAAAGCTGTGTCTTATAGCCTTTCCAGAGACAGCAAGAAGCATATTTTACGGAATATCGAGTCCAATTGTCCCGCTGGACAGAAGGCAAACAACGTCCAAAGGGTCAGAATTGGCCAGGTCTGCTCGGCAAGCCAACTTCCGCTCCTGGCCTGGACTCTTAGCCCAGCACTACCATCTGGGTTCTCTTTGTCAGGGCCCATTGGGTTCGCCAGGCAGGGCCCTGGTAAATGATGTCAGAATGAAAGAGAGGTGGACAGCAGGGAACGCCATGGCCAATGCGTCGGCCTGGGGTCGGGTAACACACTCACGTAGGCCAAGTGGAGTGGGACTCCCAGGGCCTGGAGCCGCAGGAAGACGCTCTTGTTCACTCTGAGGACCAGAAGCACCTCTCGGCGCTGGGTGCCATTTTCCTCGGCGGTCTGGAGAGTCAGGTCCAGCTGTGATACCTCCTGAGAAGGATGGAGGGACATACCTGCAGTCCAGTCAGCTTGCACGGGTCGTGCCACCCAGGTGGGTAGTGATGACCTGCTCCCTGCTGGCTCCCACTCCACCCTCCTCACCCGGCATGCCCACCTTGCCTTCATGCCCAGCCCCTAGGACATGCTCAGAAAACATACGCTGGATGAATGAAGGTTAGTCCCAGCAAACCCAAAGACAGAAAACAACTGGGCGAGCCTGAGCTTCTTCAGCAGTCAGTTAAAATGTACTTCCTGGCAGCGCGCTGGGCCTCCGAGCACCTGTGTGACTTAGCAGCAGCAACCCCAGTCCCATCACTCCGCTCCACCCCTCCAGCTGTCCCTGGGTGACGACCGCACCTCCAGCCCACAGGAGACATCCACAACTGTCTTCCCAATTGGCAGTATTCCTATTTGCCTTACGATTTTTAAAAAAGAATTATTAATTTAATTTTATTTATTATCATTATTTTTTAAAATGTGCTATAGGGCACACTCACCAGAGAGAGACAGGAGGGTGAGGGAAATGAGAAAGGAAGCTTCAAGGTCCAGGACTCAAACCACAGTCCGCCATGTGGGAGCGCAGTGCCTCAACCGCCATGCCACCTGCTGGCCCCTTGCCTTACTATTTAAAAGTAACTTGATAAACTATACATAACACCATTATTTGGATATAAGAATGTAAAGTTTAGGGACTGGCAGGTGGCATGGTGATTAAAAGAGCTGGATTCCTGGGATCAGCAGATAGCCTAATGGCTATGTTGCTGGACTCCCATGTAGTCGACTGTGGTTCAATTCCTAGACCCAGTGGCTTAAACTCATGCCGGACGCATGTGCGTGCGTGCCCAAGATCCCGAGAGGAGAATGGAGGAGAAGGGATTGTGGTGTGGCCATCCCCCCTATGGAGGGATTTCTCACCTCTTTCTTCTCTCTTTTCCTGGGGACCACACATGGCCTATAGCAAAAACCTCTCAAAAAAAAAAAAAAAGAAAAAAAGAAAAAGAAAAAAAACAGAGCTGGGTTCCCAAATGGCCGACTACAGTTCTATTCCCAGACCTGGTGGCTTGCTTTCTCCCTTTCCCTTTCTCTCTCTCTATCACTCTCTGGTCAAATGAAAAAATAATAATAACAAATGGAATTAAGTAAATAAAAAAGAATGTGAAGTTGATGGTTCAGGTCCCAGACCCAGAAGCTTGAAACTCACGCCAAGCACATGTATGTGTGTGCCCAAAGTCCTGAGAGAAGGGAGGAGAGGGACTGCAGTATGTCTCTCTGTCTCTCTCTGGCAAGCCCATGCGCCCTATAGCAAAAATCTCTCTTAAAAAAAAATGTGAATTTGAACTTGTTTATGCCTTCAGATGTACAATTTTACTTAATTAGTAGTGTATGCATTTGTAATGGTTTCATAACATCACCAACAATATCAGACATTTAAATAAGGCTTACTATATGCTGAGACTATTCGAGTGCTTTATGCATTAACTCATTTTTTTTTAAAGAATCATTTAACTTTATTTATTTTAATTTGACCAGAGAGGGAGAGAGAGATGAAAAGTGAGAAAGCAAGCCACCAGGTCCAGGACTCGAACCGCAGTCAGCCATGTTAGAGTCCAGTGCCCTTAACCACCATGCCACCTGCCAGCTCCTATGCTTTAACTCTTAATCCTCACAAAAACCCTCAGAGGAAAGCACCATTACTATTCTCACAGATGAGGAAACTGAGGCAGAGAGGTGAAACCATTGGCCCATGATTACAAGCAAGTAAGCGGGAGGCTGGGATTTGGTCCTGGATAGCCGTCGGTTCTCACTCTACTATTCTGCTACATTTTATTTAACTTTATTTATTTGTTTATTTATTTATTTATTTTTAAGTTTTTGCCTTTGGGTGTGTGTGCTTACTGGAGAGAGTGAGACAGAGAGGGAAAGTGAGAAATCACACCCCCCCACCCCCCGTTGGGGATGACTCCACCACAATCCCTTCTCCTCCTGGGGTTTTGAGCACATGCGCACATGCACCCAGCGTGTTTTCAAGCCGGTGGGTTTGGAACGCAAACCGTGGCCAGCCACGTGGGGTCCAGCACCTTCACCAGTACCATCTGTGGTCCCTGTCCCTACATTTTCTATCACTTATTCCCAAGTAGGAAAGGAGAACTACAGTGCACAGGGGACAGCATCTGTTCAAGAGCCACCTCTGCTCTGCTCCAAGACCTTCTGAGCCATGGAGTGAGCACAGGTGAGAGCTGGTCTGAGCCAGGCGAGGTCTCAGAAACCCCGCCACTGACTCAGGAGGACAGAGGCCAGTGGAAACGCTTCGCTGAAACCCCACTCCAGCTGCTCTCAGACAAAAGCTGGCAGTCTGAAAACTGACCCAACCGGCTCCTCAAAGCTATCAGGAGGGGAAGAGCATTTCAAGACCCAAACACCGGTGGAAAGTTTTTGGATTTTGTTTCTAATCATCTCCTTGTCATTTCCCCAACTAATGTCACAAAGTCAGAGACAACCTTTCAGTTGCTGGAAAAATCTGCCCAGAAGTATTTCCGTTACTCCATAATGACACCATAACCACTCTGTTTGTATGCTTGCTCTTTAAAAAGACAGAGAGAGAGCAAATCCTGTTATTTCCTTTTCAATGTTACACAAACACTTTTTATTTTCCATTTTAATGTGCTATTTCGGTTGGTTATTTCTCAATAATTTGCTAATTTGTAATAGGATCATAAGATAATGTTTCAAATTTGTGTTTGCATAAGTCTACGTTTTTGGTTAATGTTTTTCTTTCTTTTTTTTTTTGGTCAGAAGGAACATACACTCACCAGAGAGAGAGACAGAAAGAGAGAGGAGAGGAAGAAAGCAACCAATAGTGTGTGGTCATGCTTCAACCCTTTCTCCATCCTGGCAGGATTTTGAGTACACATGTGCACAAACCTTGCAAGGTTTTTGAGACACTGGGGCTGGGATTCGAACTGCATTGGCTATGTGTGATCTGTCTCACTTAACCACTAACTAGGCCATAGGACCAGCCCTGGTTAATGTCTTCTAATGAATTGATAACTTTGAGGTTTTTTCTTTTCAGAGAGATTTTTGCTATAGGGCACATGCATGCATTTGCTAGGGACACAGAGAGAGACAGAGAGACAGAGACAGAAAGTGAGAAATCACCCGCCCCCCGTCCCGGGGGAATGACTGCGCTGCAATCCCTTATCCTTTCTCCTCCATCCTCCTCTTGGGATCTTGGGCACCTATGCACATGTGCCCGGTATGAGTTTCAAGTCTCCAAGTCCAGGACTCAAACTACGGTCAACTACATAGGAGTCCAGTGACATAACCATTACACCATCTGCTGGTCCCAAATTTGAGTTTCTAAAATATCTTGTTTTATTAGTATTTTTAAATACGATGTAGCTTAGAAACTTTAAACATTAAATCTTGGCTTAAATACCTCATTTTGATAAAAATATAAAATACGTAAGCTTGCACCATAGCTTAGTAGTTAAGGGAGCTGAATCCCACATGGTCAATTTCTGCTCAAATCCTGGCCCCAGCATGTGTGTGCATGCCCCAAATCCCAGCCCGATGGAGAAATGGAGGAGAAAGGAATTCAGTGTGGCCATGTCCTATTTAGAGGATGTTTTCTCCCTGTCTTTGACTCTCTCTGGCAAGTACACATGCTCTCTGACAAATTTATTTATTTATTTATTTTCTTTTTTGGAGAGATTTTTGCTATAGGGCGTGTGTGCTCACCAGAAAGAGAGACAGAGACACAGAAAGTGAGAAATTATCCCCTAGGGGGATGGCCATGCCACAGTCCATTCTCCTCTTGGGAATCTTGGCCATGCACGCACACACGCTCGGCGTGAGTTTAAGCCACTGGGACCAGGACTCGAATCATGGTAGACTACATGGGAGTCCGGCCACATAGCCATTACACCAACTGCTGGTCCCCCCTCTGACAAATTTAAAACACAAACACACACTTAAGACCAGCAGATGGCATAATGGTTACATTGTTGGACTCCCACATAGCTGACTGTGGTTCGTGTCCTGGATCCAGTGGCTTAAACTCATGCCGGGCGCATGTGTGTGCATGCCCAAGATCCCAAGAGGGGAATGGAGGAGAAGGGATTGTGGTTGGGCCATACCCCTGGGGGGTGACTTCTTGCTTTCTATCTCTTTGTCTCTCTCTGTGTCTCTGGTGAGTGCACCCACCCTATAGCAAAAATCTCCCTTAAAAAAAAAACACTCAATTACTTTAAATAGACTTTTTTTTTCTTTGCAAGAAAGCATGTGCACATGCCAGAGAAACAGAGAGGGACAGAGAAAGCCAGAAAGCACCTCCATGGCGAATGGCCCTTCTCCATTTTCCCCATCTTTTGGGATGCTGGGCATGCACACATACATGCCTGGCAGGTTTAAGCCGCTGAGTCCAGGACTCTAACAGCACTGTTGGCCATATGGGACCTGGCTGTCTTAACCACCATGCGACCAGCTGGCCCACACATACACCTGGCATGTTTTTCTTTTCTTTTTTCCTTTTATTTATTTAAAGAATTATTTTATTTAACTTTATTTATTTCAATTTGACCAGAGTGAGAGAGAGAGAGGGAAAGTGAGAAAGCAAGTTGCCAGGTACGGGACCCAAACCGTGGTCTGCCATGTGGAAGTCCAGTATTCCTAACCACCACGCCATCTGTTGTCCCCATCCAAGCCTCCAGTCCAGGATTCAAACCATGGAGTCAGCCATGTGGGATCCAGCACCTTAACCACCATGCCACCTGGTGGCCCTGGTCTTGGGCATTTAAAAAGTTTATTTATTTGGGACCGCAGTTGGCATAATGGCTATGTCATTGAACTCCCATGTAGTCGACCGTGGTTTGAGTCCCGGATCCAGTGTCTTAAACTCCCGCATGGCATGTGTGCATGCATGCCCAAGATCCCAAGAGGAGAATGGAGGAGAAGGGATTGCGGCGTGGACATTCCCCCCGGGGGGGGCTTTC